ATCAAAACAATGTCTCAGACACTTTTCCAAGCACCGATACTCAGCACTCAGCTTATTATCAGAAAATATATATTGAGGAGATAATTGATACTAAGTACTCTCCTATTCAATACCCCATCGGGTAGTCGGGAATCTGCTTCCCATCTCTTTCGTCTCATCCTCATTCTTTGAGACGGAATATTCCATTTCGCTTCCCTTTTTCCGCCTCCCCACTTTTTCTTATTGACACCCAAAAGGGGTTACAAGCGAAACAAGCGTGACGCCAACGTGAAAGAGATCGAACGATGAGCCATCGTTCTGGAAGGCAAATGGAACCTTCCATGACCAATCGGCGGGTTTAAGAATATTCTGACTGTGCACTGAGGGGTTGAATGTGCCGCATTTTGGCTGTTTACCGAGAATGGTTTGGCCAAACATAATACATCGTTCGAGCCGATGTTAGCCACATGAAATACGTGCTAATGGAATGAAATGATGGGATTGCTTTATCGGAGAAGATGTTGTTCGTGCCTCTTCAAGCCATCTCTGATGCTGGGGTTTTGTGCAAGAGGAGTCAAGCAAGATCCTGTGGGATCTATTCATTTCACTTGTTCATTAGAATCGATGTAGGTATGTAATGATAGAGCTTGTATTCATCATGTATTTTCTCTTCTCAACGGGAATTCGATTGTCTACAAAAGACCAACAGAGTTCAGGATAAACGATCAAACAAATAACCAGCGCACGCCGGGTGCAAAACCGCCTAAACTCCGAACCCGATTCCACTATACACCAACACTCCAAAAAGCCTCTACCTTGGACCACAACCAATCCTTCCAGCGTCCTTCACTTTGCCTCCTGGCGCTGTGCATTGGGACGAACCGCTCATGTTCGCGGACAAAACACTGATCTTTCTTTTAATAGGGTATGCGTCGCGATCGGATTCGTCAGGTATGCACTGAAACCAGAATTAGTCTATGTACAATGTGTAAACCATCAATTGTAGTACTCACGCAGTAGGTTGCTTGGCCATTTGCTTCGCAACCGCCATCGCCCTCAGTTCCATAATCGCAGTACGGTTCTTGTGCTTGTGCCATGACGGTCGCAACGAAAATGCCCAGCATTAAAACGGCGAATCTCATGATGATTGAATGGGGGGTTTTGTGTGTAAGGTTGAAGAAAGGGTAGTTTGCTTTGGATTTGATAGTCTGACAGATTTGCGTTGACGAAGGGGAAATGTTCATTTATATACGGAGGTAGTAGCTAATATTAGACACCAAACATGCCACTTTATTATGACACAGCATTACGTACCCTGGATCTACATAAATTGCCTCACCACCACGTGAAACTCCTTAATATCGGTCGTTTAGTGATGATAATATCGCTTTCAGACAACAAGAGTCACCTAAAACGTGCACTGGAGGTGGATATAATGATGGGTCAAATTGAGGCCTGGAAGAATCGCCCGTTTTACGGAGAAACTGTGGTACAACTTACCACTTCTTCTCCACTCTGTAGTGCTTGTTTTACTTTGTAGACCATACTTTGGCGTTTTCTTCGTAGAAGAGTAACTAACCACAAAAAGATAATCGCCATTGACAGGTGTCGACAGGTGCCGTCAGGGTAGTCCTAGTCTCGACCTTTTAGTAAAGAATAGTTATATAGTGTTCTAATATTAGAGATAAAATTAGGTTCACGTGGCTCAGCTTTCGTACCGCGGTTTCCCTCGGACCAAATCCGACTTTTCTATATCTGGCTTGGCTAAATCAAATAAGGAACGAAAGATGTAATAATCTACATAATAACTCAAAGAATTAAACGGTAGTAATAGTAGATGTATAGAGGTGCCGGTACTCGAGTATTCCATATATATGTCCAAGTTCTTGTGGAACAACCAAGCCTCTTGGCAGTAGTTAGCACGTAGTAAGTGGGTCCTTACCTGTTAGATCAGACTTTTTAAGTGGTTTCACCCTTTGTTTACTAGGTCGAGGAAGTGGACTGCTAAGGCTGCTTTATGTTACACAGATTATATATGAAAAAAATTCTAAAACGCTACAATTTACTATCTAGTGTACAACGTTGAAGATACGCTTAGGGCTTATATAAACCTAGACATAATTCGGACCGGATTACACCTGTTCAGCGCATAGCTAGCTTACTTCGGCTATTATTTTTGAAGTAATTATATAACCTATCGTGTATCCTTTATTCTTTACAAAGTGGTAAAGGTATAGAGGTACCTGTACTTTATTTATGTTTCACTGAAGGCGCTAACTTTACCATGCCTTAAGAGAGATAAATTTCATGTGAATTCAGCCTACGAATTACCATCATACAAAAGTTGGAGGCAGCTGTGATATTGAAAGCAAACAAAATACAGACGTCGCGGATTTTACCACTTGCGATGATAGATTCTGACGAATTCTAACTATCTGGGGCGAGCTTGAATCCGATTAATATCGCTGGAACTTGACGAACGCTTAGAACAAAAACGTTGCCTGTATGCTCTTTGTTCCTGTGACAGTTTTTGATTTAGTGAATAAGGGTTCGCTTAGCGAAGTTGCGGGTGTACCCTTCCGTAGATAGACAAATACCTAAGGAGTGCGAAGAGTGTCTCTCTTCCCTCCTTGCGAACAATCTATTCCTTGATCCCCACCATAACAGTTCCCCTTGTCGGCTGCTCCCCCAATATTTTCGGTATGCACTTGGGTGCAACAAACCTGCAGGGTCCCAAATCCTTGACCTTCGTTTCTAGGCTGCAAAAAAGCTCGAATAATTTCAACTTTAACATTTAGATGGAAGCTGTGTTCATAAATGCTTTTATCTATAGAAGTTTTCTCATTTCATATTACAAAAAGGTGTACTAATATTGAGCAACTTTGAAGCATTTAAAGTACAGTCTCAATCACTACATAAGTTTCGTAAGTCTTTTATCCTTGGACATTTTGGTTGGGATTTTCTAGAGTTCCTACAGCAATTTGATATACCTTATTGATGTTTGTTTGTAACTCTCTTGTGAATCAATCAGTGGAACTTACTGTGGGCTACATGGGTTAAATAGTAGATTCTTTGTTACACGCTTTTTGATTCACAGCTGGTAGTTAGTCATTTCTTAATTGCTCTGGGTCTGAAGTCATTCTACGCTAATTCCACGGCAATGTTTCGAAAATATTAGGTCAATTTATTTGATTAGATTGTGTATGATTTATTAAATTAAATGGGATTCAATTGTACGACCTGCGTCATGCACTAATTTGTCAAAGGTGCCTTGCATCTAGCCCACTTAGGACTGCGTAGCAGACTTCTCATTTGCAGCGGTCTCCTCGTCGGTCTTATGAGTCTCTGCGCTTTGCTCGTTGGGTTCCGCACCCGTACCTTCTCTTTAAGTAGCAGAATTATGCGTAGCAGAAGTCCTACTATCAACATACCACCACTCAACATTATCCCTCTGCTCCTGCCACATCTTCTCAATCTCCTCTCTCAACTCCTCCCGATGCTCTGTTAGTTCCACAGGGGAGTACATTGCAAGGAATATTCTAGGAGTAAAATAAAGGCCTATGAACTTCTGTGACAATGCTGAAGGACGGAAGGAAATTGGTCTGGTTCCAAAGGTGGTAAGAAATGGGACGTGGCGTGGAACGGCTGCCTTAGTTCCTGATGTTGTAGTAACGTAGACGACCATCTTTGATGTTAGATTGGTAATGACCTGTGAGGACTAGGTCGTATTGTTTCAATGGGGTATGCTACCGTTACCACATTACAGCTGTTCTTAACTTAAATACCCCATTTTCTTGAGAATGACCAATATACTTTGATTCATGAAGTGTTCCTGCACACATTCAGACTTGAGTTAATGTGTGGCATCTCTTTACATTTGTTGGGAACTATGGAAAGGGTTTGATTGGTGATTGTAGAGGGGGTGTATTATCTACTCTTGTTCAGAGGGTGCGCAGGCAAGGATATGAACCAATCACATAGTTTGTGAAGTCTAATATCCAGGATTAGGATTATAAGAAACACAAGTAGTGAATTCAATATTCTTTGCTTCACAAAATAATAGATCTCTAGGTCATTTGAGCTATTTATACCACAAGATTTATGTGAGAGGCCAGACCTCGAATAGCTCAAAGGTGTGGTTTCGAATATTCAATTAAGAAGTGCGTGAAGACTACATATATGCAAGCTCTTCCTCTATATATAGAGAGAGGAAGAGTCTCTGGAATATTCCAGGAAGCTGCCTAACGAATACATGATGTCAAAAGAATAGAACAGAAAAGTATGGAACAGCAGACACTTGCTTGGCAGTGGGGGAATGGCCAGTGCTGAGCGGGGACTTTGGTCAGTGCTTAGCGAGGACATGGCCCGAGCCTCCATCATGGGTTTCAACCCTCGCAGTACGGAATGTAGTAAATGACACTACTCAGATGTCGCCATTCTTCGCAAATACAGGTTTCCACCCAAGGATGAGTTTCAGCCCCCCACGCCCATTACAGACTACAGTACCAAAAGGGCTGACTCTCCGTAATAAAGAAGGGAATGACTTTGTCGAGAAAATGGAAAGGATTACCGACTTACTACAGACAAACATGAGAGCAGCCCAAGCTACACAAGAGCACTTCGCAAACAGGAAACGGTCCCCAGCCCCAGCATACAGAATAGGAGACATGGTACTCCTTAACACGCGCAACATTAAACTAGACAGGCCAGTGGACAAGCTTAACCCGAAATTTCTTGGCCCATACCGTATCACGGCAATCCCAAACTCCCACTCGTACCAGCTAGACCTCCCACAGGAACTCTNTTAACACGCGCAACATTAAACTAGACAGGCCAGTGGACAAGCTTAACCCGAAATTTCTTGGCCCATACCGTATCACGGCAATCCCAAACTCCCACTCGTACCAGCTAGACCTCCCACAGGAACTCTCTTCACTCTAAAACGTTTTCCACGTCAACCTCCTCCGACCCGCACCAGACGACCCACTCCCAGGCCAACGCAGCCTTCCACCACCACCTTTAACCATTGACAGCGATGGCGAAGCATTATGGGCTATTGAAGCTATCGTAGACTCAAGGAGGACGAGAACTGGGGTTTTCTCATACCTGATCAAATGGAGAGGTTATGAGGAAACTAGCTGGGAACCACTGGCCAACGTAGTCCGAGCTAGAGCCTCAGTGATTGAGTTTGAGAGACTATACAAAGACAAAGTGAGACCCACAAAGAAAGAACTCCAGTTGGCCAAAACACAGCAATAGGAAGGGGAAATGAGGGAGTGAAGGGGGACCATGTCAAGGAGTCAGATCAGGTGACCTGGGTTCATTTATGAAGCTATTCACAATTATGGATAAACCAGCACAGACCAGTGTCAACCGACTTAAAAGATAGATCTCCCTAAGAATCTCTTCTCTCCCTGTAATCAATCTATTCAACCAAGTCGCAATTGTCCTCGACTTGCACTTGTACCGTGACATAAAACTCATTAATTCTCTAATTAGTCGGCAAAACTCCTACTAATTACACCTCACTATAAGGACTTATTTATTATATACTCTAAAGCTAACAAGTAGTAGTGTAACGAATACTCAAACTGGCTAACTAAACTTGGCTGGGTGTTCGCTGGTTGGTATGCTATGATAAGAAGAAGACTATCGGGTTGTTCACTTGGAAGTGAACTCGTTACTTGTATCAAAGATGTCAAACTAATATGATAAGATTGATAACTAAGTTGAGCACGAAGCTCCTATCTAATGGCAGACGTGCCAGTCTTATATAGAACCTTCGTTCTCTCTACATCGCCTACATCACCTGTCGATGTAGTCGACCTCCTATCGCTAACATCGACTGTCGATACGGGCGATGCGATTGATCACGTGACTACATACACGAGAAATCCTTGGATCGCTTAGCTAGTCTAAGCATCCCTATTTGCTATAAGAAACCTGGATGTGCCTGTCGAGGGTTGCTCCTCTTATTATGACAGGTATCACGTGAGCACGTGATTCGTGACAAGTAGGGCGGAAGTCTATCTCCTAAACCGCCCAGGGGATTTTTCAGGGGATTTAAGGACGTGCCAAGCTATCTTTTAAGTATATTTTGTACCAAGGTTTACGAACGTCACGCTAGGTTTACTAAAAAGAGTCTCGATAAAAATGTGGGAAAACGCTTTAAATATCTCGAAAATTAAATTCAGGTCTTGTTCTAAAGCAGTTGCTTGTTTTACAGTTGTTCTAATCATTTTATATAAAATTTCGTGTCACGTGATAAATCATGTTCTTCCTTAGCCCACCTAAATTAACTGTATTTCGATAGCTTGGCATTACCAAGCGGCTTGAGTGGAGCTTAATTTGCACTTTAGTATCCACGTTCGTCCTCGAAGGGGGGGTGTACCCCACCCTCATTCTACGTTCAGTTGCTGCTCGGCTCACGAGGGGAAAAGGGGTGTATGTAGCACATATATGGGAACAGCATATCTAGGGCTCTCCGAGCCCTAGGCTGCCTAACGCTCTTTCTATTCATTCCTTCTTAGAAACAAAAGTGCTGGCTAATAGTACAAGAGTGGTAGAGTACAAATATGGGGTGGTAGCGGGCAAGAAAAGAGCCCTAGCCCTAGCGTACGCTTCCTACTCTCAGGGCAGGAAGGATGAAGTTGTTGATTCCTGCCCCGCTTCTGGCTTGTGATATCCGTCTTCCTCACGTGATATTAAAACACATCAATTACTTAGTAAGGAGTACCTATTCTACGCGAGGGTGCTCGTTCCCTGTTGAAAAAATCCCCGGGTGGTTTAGGAGATACTTTAGAGACCCATGTCCTACAGGACCTTGGCCAAACCCTATCCATGCTTTGGAGTATGACAACTAGTCAAGAAGCATATTAATTTGTATCACAAACACTGTGATCGTTTTGAATTGTATAACTCCAAGTTTGTAAAACGCCATTATCCACGTAACCCGAGCAATACGAAGTGCGCTAACATACGAGGGGGCTCTAAATTTATGGTGGTCTAATAAAGGAAGACTACGAATCCATGACGGGACGTGTGCCGAATCACCAAATTAGTCTTTCTATATTTCATGATTCAGCAAACTGTGAAACCGAGTACTAATTAAGTACCAGGTACAATGCCGAAGCGAGATCGTTGACACGTGCCATATTCATAAATACTACATACCTTCATGATCAGGACACTGTTTTATTGAAGTGGATAATGCGCCGCGGCATATGCTTCACATTTTCATAAGAATTCGCCAAGAACAAGAGTTTCTACTACATAAGCTGGTTCCTTCTGCCCTTCTTCCGTCCGTCCTAGATTCTGAAATTATCGAACAACAGCTTCATCCATATCTTCACTTCAGTCTACCAATAGAACCAAAAACCGATACACAACATGCAAATCGCGAAGGTTCTCACCGCACTTGTGCCTCTGATCATTGCAGTATCAGCACAGGCATCACAGGCGAAACGGAATACCTTTTGCAGAAGCCAAGCTGTTAGTCTTCCAGCCGGCGGGAGCTGCAACGGACAGGTCCGCTGTGTAAGTGGCAAATCTTGGTATTACTGGTAATAAGACTAACAAATACGCGAAGTGTACCGAAAGAGGCAAAGTAGAAGACTTTCAAACCCCCAGTTTCTGTTCGCTTATTACAGATTCGGAAGGAGGGACTACCAACTGCGGTGGTGGTGTAAGTCTTAGGTTCTGCTCTCCTGTATTGACCTCGCTAATAACATGGTCAAAATAGCGTGTTCAATGTTGTTAGATATCCTTCCGGTAATTTGTTAAGTTGGGCACTTCCATTAGCTAGTACAATGCTGGCCATACATGTGTAGTCCGATGGCCTGGCACTTCTGACATGCGGCACTGAAGAGATCCAAGGTTTTCAAGACACAAATAGGCGTTTGAGACAAGTTTTATAGAGAGAGCGAACTTGGTTTATTTGAAAACCTTTGTACAACATGGCGTCTGAGTACCTACTTAGCAATACAATAGTGGAAAGTCCCCAGAGGAAAATACCGTGAGGCTTATTAGCGTTGTGGATCGGAGGACGGCAAGAAATAATAGCAAAATATGTACTAATTGAGTTCCACTATTTACGATGCTGCGTACAAAGAGTGCCCAGTGTTATAATCAAGGAGTAAATATACGGTGGGTGGACGTTCTCTATGAGACTAGGTTGGTTTAATACGGAGATACTCGGCTAATGTTTTGAGCCAGCTGGGGAGCAATGAAATCATCCTTGTCGCTGATTCTCAGAAGACTGCAGCACTTACGGACGAACCTACTTCACAATCCATGACACTGGAAGCTTCATAAGCCCGTGTATTACTCGTGGCCATATTCCTCATGGTAGTAACGTGTGAGTTTACAGTTGCCTTAACCAACTTTCTTAATCCAGACATGGCTTGCCACGAGTCGGAACAAACCAAGGCGCGCGTAATATTTCGACTTGGTAGGCTCGATGGATTTTGGTACAAACCAAGACATTAAAAGGTACCCTGAGCGTACAAACAGGTCTTTTAATATGATGGCCTACTATCTTAAAGTTCTCCGCTAATAACTCCCATCAAAGATGAGTCCGAAAATAGAAGTTATGTCATTTTGACGATAATAAGTAATACCGTCGTTCTGGCTCCCAACTTGCCCAGTGAACTCAAAATACTCCCTCTATTCAAGTTAGGGTCAACCCCTGCCTTGCTGGACAGCGTCATGGGGCAATACGGTGGGGTGGTTTTCTTCTACAAGACCATATGACTTAGGACATCTGTCAAGGTTCACTCACGGAAAGACTACTCAAGTCGCTCAATAAAACCAACTAAAGACTGTTTTGACAGCTATTTTATCAGCGACGTATGTTCCGCGAATAGGTGAAGAGATTAGTGCGTCCATGACAGAACAGCTTGACGAGCGTTCTTGGGCGTGAGTTACATAAAATGTGTTCATCTATAAGACCTGTCTCACTCCGTCCGTACGAATGGCTCCGTCTGTTTATCACACCACGCCACGAATTTGGCTGCAACTTTCATTCCAGCCTCCGTATCGACTCCAGGCGGAAGACTGCTAAATCTTCCCCAGGGATAGACATAAGAACCGCTTTTATCCGGGGTCAACTCTGGAGAGATTGCAGTCCAGAGCTCTGTGTAGGCCCCGAATATTGGTGGATAAAGTAAGAATGTGTCCTGTATTTGCAAAAGTGGTCAGTACATATACCCTCGGATTTCGTGAAGAACTGCAGAAGACCGACGCAGAAACATACGGTAACCCAGTGCGCAGCACCCGTCCAGTGCCGCTGCAATTCGGTGCGTAAATTTCCAGGATTGAAAGCCGCATGTACGACTCCTGTTTGCGGCGTCCCCTTGGCACACTCTCGCGCAAGGAAGGCGTTGCCATATTTTGTCTGGGAGTAGTTGGTGTGTTACACGCCATCATCCTTGGGACGTCTGTCAACGTCGAGAACCATCCCAAGTGGTGGTGAGTCGATGTGTACGTCAATGGAGGCAGCCCATGCTACGCGGACACTGGCCGTTGGGGAAGAGCTGGCAGTCTTGGTGAGGAGGGGGAGGAGAAGTTGATATAGTAAGTAGGGACCAAGGCAGTTCGTCCCTACTTGCAGCTCGTTGCCATGAGCATCGGTACTTCCGTGGGGAGGATACATGACCTACGAACTCACAGACACATCAGATGAAGTTCCATTCAGAAGTACCGGGCATCAGGTACCGGCACGGGGATGAGAGGAAGACATACACCGGCATTATTTACGAGAACGTCGAGGCGTTGTTCTTGAGCAGTGAAAACCTGTACCACGGGCTGGATCGAGTGGAGATCCGCTAGGTCAAGACACAGAAATTCAAGACAGCCGTTGCTCTTGGGACATTTCTCTTTGATGATAGAAATCGCCTTTTTGCCTTTGACTTCGGAGCGGCCTGCAATCCAAACCGTCGCATTTTTGGCATAGAGAATCTTGCATAGTTCAAAGCCTACGCCGGCATAACCACCCGTGATGAGGGAAACCTGAGTACGTCAGAGAGTTGAGGGCAATTCGATGGGGGTTGGAGAGTAATGCTACCTGCACTCACTCGTCCTTTTTGATCAGGGCAATTATTTTCCGTTAGAGATGCAGCTGGTATCAAGAAAAACTGACTCAAGGTGTTCCCCATGATTCAAGTCAAACAGCTACCGTAGGAGTACAGTTTTCCGAGGATATGTGCGAGAGAGCGGTCTCCAAATATCTACCTTCCTTTTCATAGGTAAATCTTCAGCCGGTGTGGCTGGTAATTATTGGCATACTATTGGTGCATATCGCCATCACGCTGCACTGGAGCGGCACAATAGTTAATCTCTGCCGGTTTCTCATGGCTCCCCTGTACTAAGCGAAGAGCTGACGTAGTTCCTTTGTGATTTATGATACTGTGATGTGGCTCAACTTGCCTGTCTCGAGCCTGTGTCATTCCCCCGCATCGATATTTGAGGAGACTGTAGATATCTACCCTGACGTACCCAGCCCAGCCCAGCTCCCCTCTCACATTGACAATTCTCCTGGCAATCGATTCCCAACCGAGTGCACGTGATCTTGCGCATTACAGCAGCCCCTGCTCTTCGATCCAAATATCCTCAAGTACGTATTTGGCCAGATAATCAGATTGCGAGTACAACGGAGTTTGAAGAAGCATATAGGGGCTACCCCTTCTTCAAAAATCGCGTATTTCTTACTTTTCTAGGAGGTACATACCTAATTATATACTTTAGTTAAATACTATTTGAATTAAACAGTAAATCATATCGCAAATAAGAGTTTTTGCTCTTCTGTTCTATGTATAACGTCTTTGAAGGGGCGATTATGTAAGTATATGTGAATATATTTGTATTAATAGTAGGGAGAATAGGCGAATACTTACGTCGATATAGGATGTTGCTATCCCGCCTAATTTATACAACGTCCTGTACTTGAATGCGCCAGAGAACTACGTGCGGATAATTACCTAATTATTTCGTTTAAGGTGTAAGCCATACCTTTCTACAACAGAGAACGAGTTAAGTATAAATCGAGATAGTGTACTCATAATTTCGTATGGTGTATCTCGGTGTAAGGCCTGATCTAGATAGGCACTAAAGGATTTTGCTACCGTTTATAGCACTTCGGTGCTGCTGGGTAGGCAACAACGGTCAATTTCCATATTCACCATTTCTTGTTTGTCTGATAGAGAGATAGAGAGAATAATATTTGACTAGCATTACGAAACTTAGGTGTGTATTAAGAAACATTGTGCTGGGAATTGTGGACCCAACAGTGGCTATTCGTAGGTGTGATCAAGAAAGGGGGGGCAGTGCAAACCTATGTACAGTGAAGGCTGGTCATAGAAATTCTAGTAGTTTCTTTGGAAGCATGAATATATGTATTTCCACCTGTGGGAAGCTTATTGATATCAAATGTGGACATATTCTACCCCTCTATTTCATGTCGGAAGAGATTTCTTGACACTGAGCTAATGTAATGGCTCAAGCAAAAGAATTTTTGAAGAAGTTCCAAAACCATGATTCATTAAGGGCTTCTTCCCAAGGCATCCTCATTCTCACTCCACGCCTTCAATTTCGACGGAAGATCAACAACAATCTCTCCCGTTTCCCTCGTCGGTCCAATCTGAGAGATTTCGACCCACATCTCCGTGCTAATCTTCTTCTTTTCCTGCCATTCCAAGAATCTACTATGATCCTTACACTTCTTATTAATGGCAAAATCGGGGAACGGGAAATCCTGAGTGGCCATCCAGTTATGAGTGATCATGTCAGTGCTGAAATCACAAGAGAGAGTTTGAAGAAGGACATGAAGACAGTGGGAGAGATGCGCTTGATTGAATTCGTCAAGCAGTGATGACGAACTGGTGTTGGATGGACAGCTAGTCTGGAGGGGGTAGTAGTGTTCTTTGTAGGCGTATTTTCGGATTGCGTTTAAACAGTGGAGTGCATGCTGGCCATCCGGTTGTGCCAGGTGCGCGTCCGATCCGTAGCCTTCGTATTCGTTCAGTAGATGTAATTTCTATAGATCATGTCATGAAGGAGATAATTTACCCCAAGCAAGTGGTGCTTTCACAGTTTTCTTTGGATCTTTACCCAGCTTTGAGACTTGTTCGCCCGATATAATCACGACCCCAACGTCGGTGAGTTTAGACCAAGCTTCGTCGACTTCGGGTGAAGGGTCGGCTCTTAGTAACAGATTGTGCTCGTTGAATAATGTTCCCTGAACGACTTTCTCCACAAATTGAATCTTGACATGATCAAAAAGTGGTGCTTGTTTATATCAACTTGGCTGTTTTTGGCCAGCAAAAATATTGGAAACACCAAAAGGTAGACCTACAATAAAACGAAGTTTGCTCGAGAGCCCAATTCTGCCTCACAGTGGGATATGACGAATTGTAGAAAAGTGTGAGTGACACTAGGAACGAAATGATATTGAAGCTTGTAACTGCTGGTACTCTCCAATTTTGACGTGGAGTTGGTGCTTGCAAATTTGAGTCCTTTAGCAAATTGTTAAGAGTCTTCTTGGTAATAGAACATGGATTACTCACGGAGTATGTGCCATTATCTGTTTCTTCGTCTTTGGATAATGCTTTATATTTCACTTCAGTGTTGCCTTTCTCGGCATTGCTCAGGGTTGAGTACATAGTAAGCAACTGTTGGGAGAAGGGTTGAGGAGACCGAGAAAGTCGTCGTGAGGGGAGCGTATGTCAAAAGTGTGGTGAACTTTAGCAAACTCTCGTTTCTCACCGTAAATTCCAAGGTCCACATTTCTTCAGGTTCTCGAATGCCACTGTGAAATCTCGTCCTATCCCCTCTCGTCTTCGTATGGTCTTATTCAGGTTCTAGACAAGTTGTGTTATTGCGAGGCCCGAAAGCACGCATGCATAAATTGGTCAAACTAAACTCCGAAATACAGCTCTGCCATCGGGACAAAATGTTTTTATTTCGAAGCAAGATTAAAGTTCCCTAAAGCACAAGCAAGCTTCTCAGCTAGATGTGGCTATCTTGTGGAGAGCAGACGAAAGGCTGCATGCCGTCGGAATGTAACTTCAAGACCGTTGGACTGCAGGTCATTTGCGTCAAGCAGTTGAGCACGACTGTAATAACATAACGTGGATTTCTCCACGATTTGTACACCACTTGGCTGACGGGTGGGTTCTTCGGCGTTTCTGGGCATTCAGCTTGCGGGGACTGCTACACTACATGAGAAAGAACAAAAGGATAGAGGAGGCGAGTGAACCTAATCCTTGTATCTTAACAACAGTCCAGGGCATGATACGCACATCAAGCTTATTCCAGCCTTTTCGTGCACAAAAATACCAGTTAAGAGGTTCAATACTGTATTGCAAGAATCCGATGGAAAAATCCATGAATGGTAGGACTCATCATAATATAAACTGATTCCTCAGAGAAACAACACCCTTGTATCACACACCATTTATCCAATCCTCACTCTCTTCCGATGTATACAAATTCGGTGTTGGTTTTGGTAAAATCACCGCATTATCAGGTCGCTTGATCATTCGCCATTTTTCCATATCATCCGGTATAGCATGAGCATTGTTCCACTCCAACAAGCCCTCGAAGTTCCGACACTTACGGGGGTTGTTGAAGTCGGCAATTGGCCGATAGCTTCCTCGCCGCCAGTTGTGTGTAACTATATCGAGATCTGCGTGGCACATGAGTGTACGAAGTATGATTCGAAGGCAATGCCGTTTGTGGCGAACATGGAGATAATCGGCGTTTTCTGGGTTCCCGTATCTTGGGCGGAAATAGTAATCCCACCACTAGTATTGTCTGTCAGTCACCTTGAAAAATGTTTTTGTGCATCTGAGACGTACCAATTCTTTGCGGAGCATATTGAGACAATGAATTTCATGGAACTAGACATTAGAATCACTTCATAACTTATGGGAGTATTAGAATTTACTCACCACGTCCACCTGGGCTGGATAGGCATCATTACCAAATCCCCACTCCGGCGGAGCTTTGACAATGACCTTTGGATCTCTTCCAAGGCGAATTGCTTCTTCTGAGTTCACCGTTATGATGGCACTAGAATCTGCGGCGATAAAATTCCAGGCAGCATCAACTTCGGGACTGGGGTCTTGGATATATATTGAGGTGTTTTCGTCGTCGCCCCAAAGTGTGTGGTTCTTAGTTGATTCATCTAGATCTATGGGTACTCCGCTATCGAGAACGGGTGCTGTTTAATATCAGTAGATACCTTTGAGTCGAGAGAGAATCATACAATAGATGGATACCTTCTTTTGTGCGTCAAGTGTACTTTTGCCATTCAACCTCAAATTTGTCCACACTGCACAAGTTATACCAAAGACGAAAAGATTGAAGACTGTTAGAATACTGAAAAGCGTCCTTTGAGTTTTCCGAGTATCTTGGTTGCGAAGTTTACGTTTTGCTCCAAGGAGACCATCATTTGAAGTCTCAAAGATAGTCTCAGACTCCGAAGACTCTCGCTCGTTGTATAACATACTTGACGCCTCAAAACAGGAAAAATGATTGAATTCGCAGTTGCCGTTTTCTGGCTACAGGAGGGTATATCGAGAAGATCCATCGTACCTAGAGCATATAATCCACGCGTGTATTGATCACGATTTTAAGAAGCGGTCAGCATCACTTCTAGGTCCGATGGGCAACATGAAGCGGAGCGAGGGTTAGATTAGCGTTCGCAATTTGATAGTTTTATCCCACATTTTGCTGTGAGCATAAACCCATCTGCATAGTACAGTAGTAGCACATCATTCCACGACGTCAATTTAGGTAAGGCTATGATGATACCGATAGCCCTTATAGGTGTTGTAACACAACTCTAATAGCTTTCGTATTGATCTAGATCCCTAAAGACCTCCTGGCAATGTCTGGACCGGTCCACAAATTTACGTAACAACAATGTTTTTCACACAGATCATGATAATTCTAACCGCATACTTTGGATTTATTTGCAGAGTTTTTCTTTAGTCGTTCTCTCGTAAAACGTGATAAGCTCTGTACTCCACTTGTTTTGCACCCAGCTTATAGCTAGCCATTTATTTTGTAACAAAAGATGTCCTACGGTTGTCTTTCACCGCAATAACATTTTCTTCGAGGAATATGGCTATGTGTCAATCTTTTGATGAACATCGCATCCTCGTAAAACCTATCACATGAATGTATGCTGTTCTGAAAAAAAGCGCATTTTGCAGAGCTCTGGGGCATGCCATTCGATCGCTTCTTTTTTCAGACTCTATTGGATAGAACTAATGGTACAATAACGCGACTTTCAATCTGCAAATTATCGGACTTGGAGAAGTCATCCGTCTTGCTTGTTTGGTTGTATTGATAGGCAAGCTCGACGATTCTGGCTTCGTTGCTTCCAGCCTCCTTAGAAGCCGTACAAAAGAGAAGAGCGTGAGTATTCTCGTACCAGTTCTACAAGGGATTGATTCTCATGACATATTCATCTTGAGCCAGCCGAGATACGGCAGGTGTGGGTATTACTTATCATTCCTTCAATTCCACTATAAAAGCCCTCCTTCCGTCTATTCATTTTCCAGAACTCAACACTACACACGCCTTTCTTATTTATCATCACTCAAAAGTACCTTCGACACTCAAGCCAACATGCGCTTTTCACGCATCTCCATGACCTTTACTCTTTTGAGCACAGTGGCAATGGCAGTTCCCAATCCCAAGCAAGCGTATAAGCAACACACAGATGATGTTCGAGATGCCGATAGAAGAGCTTTGCCACAGGCTTATGGTCAACACATTGACGAGAAGAGGGAAGCAGCTCAGCCTTATGGTCAACACACAGATGATAGATCTGAAAAAAGGGGATGGCTACAAGCTTATGGGCGACATGCCGATGAGCCGACTGAACCGCTCGCTGCGAGGGAACTGCCACGAGCCCAGTATGTAACTTATTCTTTTCTTCCATCTGGGGCTTCCATACTGATCACTCGGAACAAATTTAATCTTATCTCATTACATCCGATTCATGATCTAATAAGAGAAATTATGCTAAATTTTTCACAGGAGACAACACATCGATGAAAAGAGATCTCCAGCGCAGGCTTATGAAAGAAAGACGGATGATAGAGATCCTCCCTCAGAGAATGACTTACCACAGGCTTAGTATGAGACTTTTTTCTGCAGCGGGAACTATCCATCACAATTGTGAAGGCCAACTTCCGTCGCTTGCGACTCTCAACGACTGAATTAATGGGAAAGCATATACTAATAGCCAGTAGTGGTCAGCATATCGACGAAAAAGTCAAAAGGGCACAAGCTTATGGGCAACACACTGATGACAAAAAACCTCCCGCCATTTCTGAGAGACTCCAAGCCTATGGGCAGTTCACGGATGACGCCAAACCTCCTATCAAGACTTCTCCACCAGTAACTTCAAGGGCACAAGCCTATGGGCAGCATACCGACGACGTTGAGATTTCTCCTCCAACAATAAATGAGAGATCCCAAGCATATGGCCAATTCACAGATGACAAGAAGCCACCCACTCAGTAAGTAAGGACTTCAAGACGATCTAGCTACTACACTCCGTATGGTAAGTGCCAATGCAATTGTTATGTCATAAGCAGTCCTATCTTGAAATATCTTGTGAATGGGAATACTAATGCTTTGGAAAATAGAGCTTACAGTCAGAAAATTGACGACTGCGTGGGTTATGGTCAGACTTATGGTCAGCATGTCGATGATTGTTTCCTTCGCAGTTGATGGCGGCTTGTTTGGAGGAGATTCGTGAGACTGTGTTAAATAACAAGGCGTGTCTCGTTTGGCCTTGAAGAGGATGAAAGCTGTATGAAGAGGTTGCTGGTTGTTAATTTCTTTTGCCGAATATCGAAGCTGGTTATAGGAAATATACGCGTTATATAATGCTGATTTACTCTACGTGAGGTTTATTAAAGTAAAAAACAACAACAATGACTGAATTTTGCAACGTCGAATGGCATTCCACAGCTCCTGATGTCCTTAGAAGCATTTTTCTCTCTTGCAAACCTCGGTGGTCGCACGAATAGCATTATGAAAACAGTACTTTCTTTGGAAAAGATTATAAAATCTGGGGGCTGTATACCAAACCAGCTTCTGCTTGAATATAGCAGGCTCTAGTAATTACGAAAAGGCAACCTTCATGCCGAAAAATCAAAGGCCCTTAGAAATCAATTACAGATAAGATATAGTAGCACACTCGTACTCCCGAAAGCTATCAGAGTTTAGTATTAGTATATAGCAAGTGCAAGCATATAGAAAGCATAATATAAGATTACCTGCCGATTACTTCTTACCTATCTACCTAAAATCAAACAAAGGAGCTCCAGCTGGAAAATCCTTTTGTATAGTCGAGGCCTGAGGGATAGAATACCAATTATCACTATTGTAGTTCCACTAAAAAAATGTAATAAATCTACCAAACGATGGTTACGTAGTGTAGTCAAGAGGCTTATAATTTAATATCACTCAGATATAAAACCTAGCCTACCATACCGAAGTGCGAGCTTTACGAAGTAACTGAGGTCTTCTCTTTGACAAGATCTCGATTGGAAACCATAACTAAAACAACCGCGAAAATCGGCGCAATATTATTTAGCATTACAATCCTCGGTCAAGCTTAATTTGCTTCAACAAATTGGAATCGATGAAATGGTAGCCACCTTAGCATAAATAATAATTTACATGTATAAGCCTACGCACTGGCCACTACAAGGCTCCCTACACCTTCTCCACTACTGAAATACTACTAGAACACCCTATATTTTTTTCACTAACAGAAGTAGAAATTTGACATAGGATGGTTAGGGCTAGATTTAGGGTTAGGGCTAGAAGTTGGGGTTAGTGGGATATGATTTTTGGTTGTTTTGTAGTATGAAGTTCGCCAAGTGACTACGTTTTGTGCCAGATATGCACAGGCCAAGTTGGCTACCATTTAATCGAGTCCAAGAAATTAGCCAAACGTTTTCAGACGACAAGCGAAGATCTTCTACGATCAACGGAAATCCCGTGTACGCTAAAAAAAGATTAGGGTTAGTGGGACGGTACCCACTTCAGGGTAAGAGAACCAACTTCATCTCACTCCTTTCCCTACGGAATGTACATAATTTTAGCGTACCTGTGATTACTTGATTAGCACCACATCCCGCTTATATACCAACTATTTTAGAACTCTTTCTTTAGCCTCAATTAGTAATACTTTGGAAGAACACATGCCGTCTCTCCGCGAAGATGTTACGATGACATCCTACATCAACTGGATCATGCAAATATTCTCAAGTACATAAGCTTTACAGATGCTTATTACCCTAACTTCTTAACAGAATTAAGCTTCTTACTCCAGGATTTATGTCATAAATCATAAATGTACTTCGTCCTAGGCGTAATAAGAGTTAAGCTTACGAGGGGTGTTTAGTAGAGCACAAGGTAGAAAGAAACCTCCGTAAACTCAACTTTTGTTACGTCTAGGGAGAAGTAGAGGTAATTATCCTTATAGGTTTGCATGGAATTACTACCGAAATTTTCTCGGCTATTTCTCGCTGTTACCACAAATAGACATCGCTTGGTGTAAAATTCGCAGCATCAACAGGTTGAGAGGTTGAGAGAATGAACTACTAAAGCTGCCTCTTGTCACCCATCATACCGTGTAGCGCGTCTTAGCTGGTAAGGTTACTATACTTATTGAAATATAGTGTTACTGTTTTTCCATCTCGACAGCGACCTTATGTCATCGTCAAAACAACTTAATATGGAGTAGCGCCTGTTAACCTTTGCTCGCTGGTAATCTCCGATATCTTGTTCGCTAACAGACTGGGGAAAACCTTGTACTGTACGATTGCCGTGATAAACCGTTCCTAAGGGGAGTGCTGGGGGGGAGTAGTGGATAGCACTAAGTGCGAGAGTGGATGAAAATAAGGCTTGTGGATAGGCTCTGAGTGGCTAGAAGTCCTTCTGACTATGCGTAGAAGATTAGGATTAGCGATGCTCCCTGGAATTAGACTTTTTGTCCTAGGACCCGCAGAAAACTACCCTCTAAGTGGCCCAAAAAGGAGTCTTGCCAACTTTTGCTACTCCACTCCGTACTCCCCCCCAGCATTCTCCTTAGGAACGGTTTACTACGGTACCGGCATCCTTTCTTGAAATGTGTCAGAAACACAGCACTTGTACTGTGGGGTATTGAGCCAAGCGAAGATTATTTATAGCAGATGTACGGCCGTATCATGAGAGCTTCCGGGCCGTGATGATCTCAAGGTATAATCGTAACGAAGTACGAAGTATTAAGAACAGACATTGTGAGGGAGGCCATTAGGAGATTTTGAACCAATAAAATGAAATTGATTTGCAACACACCTCTTGGCCTCGCCTCGGTTGATCAAACGCTTCCGCCATGCAACGTCAATTAAATTACTCCGTACTCGAGTATTAGCAAGAACTTGTCAATGCTTGGTGAGAAGCAATCGAGGAGTTATAAGATGAATAGAAAATCCAGTATCTAAATTCTTCTTTTTCTACCCTCTCTATCACATTCTTTCTTTCCCTTCTACCTCCCCTTCTTTGCTTTTTGCTCTTCGCTTCGCTTCGTACTATACACCCTCGTTTTTTGTACTTTACAAGTTTGCATATTTATCTTCACCATGCATTTCTCTTCTGCACTCGCTCTCGGTGCTGTTCTTTCAGCAGTTGTCGCTCACCCAGGAGGACACGATGTTTCTCCAAAGGAAATGGTCCGTCGTAGTGGTCTCTCCAAGCGTTGCGAATCCGCCGCTGGAGCCATGAACCAAAAGCGTTGGGCTGCGCACCAAGAGAAGCGTTCATTGGCATCTCGTGCCGTTACCCCCGCGCCTATTCACAACGAGCCATTCTACAAGGTCATTCAAAACGACACCTGTATTCTCGAGCCGGAGGTCACCGCTGGACCATACTTCTGGCCTCAATCCCAAACTATGAGACAAGACATGGCTGAGGACCAACCCGGTGTTCCTCTCTATCTCGACATCGGTGTCCTCGACACCAACAACTGCAAGCCCTTGGCCGACGTTCTTGTAGATCTATGGCACTGCAACGCAACAGGCTCGTACTCTTCCTTCGAGGCTCACAGTCCGGATATACCATTTCTTGAGCTTTTGGCCTCTCTCAACCAGACCTTCGATCCAATGACCCGACTTGATCTCCACACCGGCAACACCACCTGGCTCCGAGGCATGTGGCCTACCAACAAGGAGGGAATGATGGAGATGAAGACCGTCTTCCCCGGATTCTACATCGAGCGAACGATCCACATCCACGCTCAGGTGCACACCAAATGGGCCATTGGGGCCAACGGAACCATTGCGTCAGGTAATACCGTTTCCACAGGCCAAATCTACTTTGACGAGGATGTTTCCAAGCAGATCATGGCTCTGGAACCATACACCCAACACGACACCATCAACCGAACCACCAACGTCATTGATCCATACTTTGGAGTGAACTTTGAGTCTGGTTTCAACCCTGTCATGTCGGTTGTTCCTTTGGATGGAAAGGATATTACCAAGGGAATGGTTGCTTACATCACTCTTGGTGTTAACGCTACTGACACTGATGTCGATGGTCTTGGGAAATACTAGACGAGTCTTTTTACCTTTAGAAAAAGAAGAATGATCATCTCGTCTAATGTCAAATGTGCCAAATGAAAATCATGCTCATGTCTCCCATCAAAAAATAACACTTGGTCACTAAAGGTGTTCGCCAGCTTCGATATGCGGGTGATATTGAGGCTCCAGTGCTTGGAAAGCGGGTGAATGGGCCTAACTATTACCTCTTGACTGCTGCCATATGCTATTCTTCAGACGCTGCTTTCTGTGGCCTACGACTAGCGGAACTTGGAGAAGTTGGCGAGCACTTTAGCACGTTTGATGAACGATAGGGAGCAGAGGGTATAGAAATAGAATAGAATGATATCTTATTTCTAGAAACACCTCTCCCAGAAGCATATAAAGAATTTTATGTTTAAAGTGAATACAACTTACAGAAACCTGCAATGGACTGGGTTGGTCATATTCTGATCTCGAAAGGTTTTAATATCTCTGGTTCAAACCACAACGACTGTAATGCCCTCTTTTTGACCGATATAATATTAGATGCTTTCCGTTTTCTACCTTGAGAGCGTAATTCAAAAATTCAACTAGGACATTTCTCATACCTATTATGTGTTTTGTTTTTTCTCGAAAGTTCAGGATAATGAAAAATATTGAACTGAGTATGAGAGCAACATATTTATTAGTTATTAATTGTTATTTGATCAGAATCTACACTAGCTATCTACGTATAAGTAAACGTCTGTATATCGGAAAAGCTACCATGTGTTATTTAGGTTTAAATCATAGACATTTGAATTTTCAGGATTACTATTCATGTTCTGCTGGTCTTTACGAGTGTCCTTACAAATTATATATCACCGGAAGTACGAGTAGAGCTCTAGTAATTAGAAGGGCAGGGTAAGTTTAATCTTATAAGTAGCCATTTAACCAAACAATCAGACCAAGGAGTTTATATGTATCCGAAAATCGAGGATCATATGGGACACATGCTCAAGAAAAAAAGAGTTGGTGAAGGCAATGCCGCTTTACTGTCGAGTATCCGTCACGCGGTTGCTATTTCCAAACAACACGGCGGCCCAATCAACACGCACCGGCACCAGCACGGCAGCGCAGCGCAGCTCACACAGGGCAGCAGCAGTTCTGTGTTGTACAACTCAGTGCATTTTGCATTTGCATCAACTCCACCACCTGCACGCCAGAGTCTCTACCATGTCATTAGTACTCTCTCCCCAACATCATACTCGTATCCATATCGACGACTCACCATGTCGAATTCCCAGGCACCTGCGGCGGTATCGAGAACGCGGAGTTTGAAGGTTCCCCCGCTGGGCACCGGCACCTTCAAACCAACCACCACCAGTACCAGTACCACGGCAGTGACAACTACCTCGAACATCGCGCTCTTCCTCACGAACCTCCGACTCCTGGATCTCGACTTGAGACCAGACTGGCCAGATATCTCGCGGAAGACCTTCTCCACCAAGGACGCCCAGCAGAATCAGAAGAAGCGCGTGCAGTGCGTCGAGTGGGCGCTGTATCAATTGTTTGCGTTATGGGACCCGGAGGAGACACAGAATGTTGGTCGTTCCCATCCGTCTACCACATGATCTGCGCTCCTAATTTTTTCAACAGAAACTACAGCCCTTTTTTCCTCCTCTCGAACCTCTACAATCTCTCAACCTCCGCGCGGCACTCTTCCGATGTCTCGATCAAGCCAAGAAAAACGGTGTGTTAGGGAGGGACACGGTATTAAGGAAGACCATGTTGGACGAGTGCAAAGGCGAGAGACTGGAAGAAGTGCTGGCCGTATTTTCCAATGCCGTCCTCAAAAGGCTGCTGCAGCAAAGCGCACCGCCAGAATTGGGCGCCATCGCGCAGCAGTTGGCCTACGAGAAATTTTCCTACTCGAGGGAACAAAGCCTACTATCTGCATTGATACTAGCCCATAAGGCTGCCTTGAAATCGCATTTGCAGCAGAAGGAAAACTCGAGGGCCAAGTATACGGACTTTTCCGAGCTTCTCGGGTTAAATGAACGCCGGATTACTCGACGACATGAGCAATTGAAGGAGGTGCTTGCGGAACGTGGAAACCATGAGAATATTTCCGCAACAGATATCAAATGTTTCCAGAGCCAGGTACAGAAGAATTGGTCTGGCAGTGAGGAATGGCTGGGGACGATACTATACGGAGACAGCAAGGTCGGAGAAGATGGGCTTTTGGCAACTCAATTCGACAAAGTTTGGAAGAATGTGGAGGCAGGCACCATTGGAGATATCGAAAGCAAAGGTCGGGTTGGTTTACTGGAACAATTGGATGCACGAGTTAAAGATCAAGAAAACCGCCTGGCAAGATGGCAAACTTTCAGCAAAGGAATGTCGAAGAAGGCCAATAAACCCCCCACTCAGAAATCCAATGATCAAGAAGGTTCCGGGGAGAAGAAGATAGATCTCGATTTCAACCTCCACCAGAAAATTCAGATTAGTCGCAGCGGCACTGGGAAATCTGTTGAGACACAGAGCGCATCTTTGGAAAAGTATACGAAACTTATTGAAAACATGCGAAGCGAGATTTCAGAGATTCGTAATCCGTCAGCGGCGAAGTATAATCATGTCCCTGTACGGCAAAGTCTAGGTGCACAGAAAAGGAAGTCACTCGTTGTGCCGTCACTGAGGGCAGAAACTCCGCCCAAGGAACAAGATCAAGAAGATATTGATGATGATGATTGGTCATTTGCGAGTGACATTGAACAATCTTCTCCTGGTTACAGAAGTCAGGCTGCAAGATCGGTGTCTCGCACTCAGCCACCAGAAAGCCCGCTTCGATCTTCCCTACGCGAAGAGTCGAATTCAGACAAGGCTGATGAGGAAGAAGCCTATGGTAGCGACGGAGATAGTGTCGAGGTTGTGTTTCACGACAGAGAGCAGGAAGAAGTTGAAAGGGGAGCTCAAATCGTGGAGGGAGAGGCCACTTTGTTCGCGGAGGATACCATCATTGCTAACCGAGCACCCCCTCTCTCACCACTGCCTGCTCTTCATACTCCTCCTCGACGTCTTTCTCCGCCGTCAAGACCACAAGGACATGATACTGAGTCTGATCTTGCAAATCAGATCCTGAATTCCATGTCTGAAGTATCACCATCGCCAAAGAAGCCACGACAGTCATTATCGTTAGCAGAGCGGACCCGCTTATCCATGGCACGAAAATCCTATATGTCCGAACTTCAGGATGAATTCGATGTTGCACAGTCTCCCCGACTGGCTATTAAACCAAGACAATCGTTTGCACCTCCGGTCGTTGAGGAATCAGATTTACATGCAGGACTGATCGAACGTACGCGAAAGAGCATGGCAGGGTTTGAAGCTGCTCAAAAGAAGGCCCAGCTCGCTCGTCGAAAGAGTGTGATTGACGCGAAGAAGAAGGCCAGGGAATCGACATATTTCCCAAAGGTAGAGGAAGAACCACCCGTGCCTGATATAAGTGCAATTGAATTGATGGAGGGTGACCCAGACTATGAAAGCGTATTCAAAAGTCGCCCCAAGATCCAGATGAGTCCAGCTCCTAGTCCTACGAGGGAGATGGATGAGGATCTTGAATGAAGGCTTTAAATGGATCATAGCCAGTGTGCCTAGAAAGTATTGTATCAAATAGAAATACAACCAATCCTATTGATCTTCAAACTCAAATTGATATCTCTACTGCTGCTGTTGCTGTTTTGAAGTCTTGAAATACGTTCCGTTTAACCTGAAATGAATGCTGGGAAGTCCCCAGTAAACAATAGATAATCCCGATAGATGATTGATCATTGTGAGTGATCACTAATTACCGAATTTAACCTTCCTCGCTTACCCGGGAAGCCTGACCGGAAGCCTCGGCTCACCCCGCCACGCCCGCTTTAAGTTTGAGTTTTGATCGTCCACGACTCTACTCTAACATCTATCATCACTCTTCTCATATTTCGTGAGTATTTCTAGCACATATTTCGTGAGCTTCTCATTTGAGTTATAGGGAAGATCAATCCACGCCGAAAGACTCATAAACACATAACCCCTCACCACTCAACCTTCAAACTGAACACTCTCAAAACACCACAATCTCAGTCCTCTTTGTCAACAAAACTCATATCAACCCATCAACCCACCCCCAAATCACCACCAACAATGGCCCCCTCACCAACCTTCACAACTCCACCCCCATCTCTCCCAGACACCATCCAGATCTCCTTCCCGGCCCCCAAAGTCCTCCTCATCACCCTCAACCGTCCGCAGTCCCTAAACTGTATCTCGCAAGCCATGCATTGGGCCCTACACTCACTCTTCCTCTGGCTTGACTCCGAGCCCTCGCTCCTCATCGCGATTCTCACCGGCACGGGCCGCGCCTTCTGCGCCGGCGCGGATCTGAAAGAGTGGAATGACGGGGGACGAGCGGGGATACCGCCCAGCGGATTTGGGGGGTTAAGTAGAAGGGGAGGGAAGAAGGTGGTGATTTGTGCGGTGAATGGGATTTGTTTTGGGGGTGGGTGTGAGATGGTGATTAATGCTGATTTGGTGGTTGCGAGTAAGACGGCGGAGTTCTCGCTTCCGGAGGTGAAGATTGGTGTTGTTGCCCTTGCGGGGGCGTTGCCGAGACTGGTGCGTACAGTTGGGAGGCAGAGGGCGATGGAGATGGCGCTCACTGGCAGACAGCTGAGTGCTGGGGAGGCGGAGCAGTGGGGTCTTGTGAATGAGGTTGTGGAGGAGGATGTGGTGGGTACTGCGTTGGGGCTTGCGGCGATGATTGCGGCGAATAGTCCGGATAGTGTGATTGTTAGTCGGGAGGGGGTTAAGATTGGCTTGGAGGGGGTGGGGGTTGAGGAGGGGAC